TAAAATATATTTTACCTCTAACATTTTTACCTCTGACATTTTTCCTCTGACATTTTTACCTCTGACATTTTTACCTCTGACATTTTTCCTCTGACATTTTTACCTCCGACATTTTTACCTCTGACATTTTTACCTCTGACATTTTTACCTCTGACATTTTTACCTCTGACATTTTTACCTCTGGCATTTTTTCCTCTTACATTTTTACTTCTGACATTTTTACCTCTGACATCTTTTCCTCTGATATTTCTACCTCTGACATTTTTTCCTCTGACATTTTCACCTCTGACATTTTTTCCTCTGATATTTTTACACCGAGCCATTCCAGGAGCTTCATTAATATTTATTCCTTTTAGAGCATTTGTTGCATCTTTAATTGAAATTAATCCCTCAAATAAGGATTATTTATTTTCGTAAGCTTTGTTTCGATTACTGTCGGATCCGGGCTTCTTGTTGTGTATTAGCAAGAATAAAACTTTTCTACAAAGTTTATGATTGTACGACTATCATTTTCTAATTTTCTGTCTATTCTAATTTCAGATATATACTTTCTCTCACCATTTCTATGTTCTAAATTTAAAAATATGAAGAATTGCTTTCACTTTTTTCAAAATTAATAATTTTAGACCTAACCTTTGCACCATTGATCTGAACATTTGCTATCTGCTCTTGTAGCTCATCATTTATTAATTATAATTGTGATTAAGTTATGATAAAACATCGATGATTCTCGGTTTCGATTTTACTGGGTCGCACTGTATACTTATTGCCTTCTCAATATTCGAGCATTACAATGGCATGTTACATAATCCCGACATGACTTCTAAGGGTAATACAATTGGTTTCTTCTAAATTGCCTTTGACTAAAAAGTCTTAGCGGAGGTGTTTCTGGACAGTGGGTGCGTTAAGCTGTATGTAAATGAATAGAGTCCTTTTTTTTTGGGGGGGGGGGGGTCATTTAAAGAAAAGGTTTAGTTCTGGGGAGAGGTGAAAGATAATCATTGTTATTGTACAAGTGTGGAAAAACATCAGAGAAAAAATACCCGAAAAGCATGGTCCGACTTGTATGCCTCATGTTTGTGTACTGCAGTCCCATATACATCTTTCTGAGTACAGTGCTTGTTACTTTATCTAGACTAGGCCAAATTTCGTATCATTTTGATGACTCCAGAATTTTGCAGTACACACCAATACTTTTATGCTACATGTCAACTTTTGTTCTGATCGATTCCACACCGTGTCTTTCACAATGCAATCGCATGACCCAAACTCAACTTTATCTTTAAGCCATTTCTCTCTAATTTTTTCTGTTGTTGAGGTATTCTTGCTAAAAATGTATTTGACTAAAAACATTGGTAAGGAAAAATGTTGTCTTTCTGTAGTATGCAGGCCTGAAATGATCACCCCAGTATGTGTCGGTATTCCTCTCCTCTACAATTAAAGGACCAATTATGTTTATTGCTTTCCGTGTCCAGAAAATGTGATGAAATAAAGATACTTTATGATTTAAAGCTTATCTGCCGTAGTTTACAGGAGGGATTAGACCGCTCTGCAAGGTCACTGGACAGGTGGTTATCTCATCAACTCAGCTCTCAGTTAACATAAGAAAAAGAGGCCTGGGGGACCAATGGTCACCGATTAGGAATTGTTTGTTATATAGAGGGCGCTTGAAGTAGCTACCAGTAGTGCAGTGGGCCTTTAAGGTCAGTCATGTATAATGACTGATTCCTGTGAATATATCTTGATATGAACTGCATACACAAAATATAAAGTGATTCACCATTTTCAATTGGGGTTTGTGTTGTGATTGGTTTTAGATTATGCTATTGATCTCGTGGATTTGGGGTTCTCTTGTTAATTCATTGTTTGCTAGCTTTGACAGCTTTGACAATATTAATTGCAGTTGGTATACGTTTTTAAACTGCAATGGGAATATGAATATGAAATATTGATTCAAAACGATTAATAAAAACAATGTGAATACCAACTTTCCCCTTCACCGTTTACTTTATTACTAAGCTTGATTTTATACGTTACTTGTTGCACACGATGATACAAGTGATAGTTACAGTAATGTTCTAATTTAATTTTCATGCGTCGTATCGGCATGATAATAAATTAACTAAGCAATCCCACATATGAACCAGCTACAATACAGGGTGTCTCTGAAAAAAGAAACGCAAGCTTATATTCGTAAATTACTAAATAATCCTAAATTATTTGTATCATTAATGAGTACATTACTGACAAGCTCGTTTTCCTTTCTATCATATGACAAAAAGAATATGATCATTAGATCACATATGACTGATTTAAGACAAAACGTGTCGGTAATAGTTGTTTTGAAAGTCATATGATTTTGGAATGTCAAATATCAAAACTCATCATGTAAAGCGTGATATTCTTATGCTCCATTTTAATGATTTAAAGGATAGCCTTACTACCTACATTTCACACTTTATTGAAACAATATCTCTCAAGTTAATCATGTTTAGGGTTAAGAGATAGTTTACCTTGGGCGCTATAATTATGAATGGTAAGTTATATATATTTATAAGCTTTTCTATTATGTGCACATTAAAAAAGATAATTCAGGATTAGTGAGTAATTTAACGAAAAACTTGGGTCTCCCTCTTTCAAGGACATTATGAACAATGAAGTTTATGCATACTTGAATAAAATTAGTAATGAATACAACCAAATAATCAACAGTAAAGTACATTTTTCTGAGTAAAATACGTAGTAATATCAATTTCGACTAAGAAACTCTAAATTAAGAAGCACATGAAACTGATAATTATTGAACAGCAATGTAAATTCAAGAACTGCATGTATTTAAGGTATAACGCCTCAAATCAGAATATATTGTATCTCCTATGTTTTTTTTCTCCATTACTTCTTCTTAAATTGTCTATATTTCGTCAACCAACGCAGGATTACATTTATTTTTCCACGATATTTGCCAAATTTGTTTGTCTACTGAATTTGGTGTCGCCAAGAACTTCTTGGTGTCGCTATATGGTCTACTTGATAACGCATTGGCGTTCTCTTACAATGAAATGGTTCGATTCCCGGCGGAGACAATTTGTTTTCAACCTTTGCAGAACAAATTAAAAAGAGGACAGCAATGGAGAACTTTGCATTAAGCTACACAACCGTCATTGTCTAATCTCCTTTCGCATTATATGTATATAATATATAAATCGTGCCATAACTAAAAATGACTTAAAATGAATTGAACAAACTAATCATCGTATCATCACCATCATCATTAAACTTTTTTGATAGGGAATGCCTTTCCTCTGAGTAATACACCACAAAATATCATATAAAAACAATATTCTGATCATGATTACTTCGATAAGATACAAATAAATTGTACAGATATAATTTTGTCATTGAAATAACAATTATGAACAAAATTAAATATACTGGGAGAAGGCGGATGGGGAGGGGTTCTATGTGGTCTAGTGGTTAAGGCATTGACGTTCTTAGCCAGTGACCCGGTTCGATTCCCGGCGAAGACAATCTTTTGCAACCTTTGCACACACACAAAATCAAAAAAGAAAAGCAATGGAAGATTTGCTTTGAGCTGCACAACCATCACTGTCTACTTTCCTTTCCCATTATATATATATAATGTCATGAATAAAAATGAATAAAATGAATTGAACAAAAATCATCGTACCGTCATTATCATCATTATACGTTTTTCTTCAAAATGGATAAACCTCTTCTCTGAGTAACACACCACAAAGTGTCATATAAACAAAATATTCTGATCATGAACAATTCAAAAAGGTTCATACAAATTGTACATATCTGTTTCGTCATTGAAATGTAATAATAAATCGAACAAATTAATAATGGGAAAAAAAATCATAGTACCATCACCATCATCATTATACGTTTTTTTTTTTAAATGGAAAGACCTCTTCTCTGAGTAATACACCACAAAGTTTCATATAAACAAAATATTATGATCATCAATACTTTGATAAGGTTCATAAACATTGTACACATATAATCTCTTCATTGAAATGTAATAATAAATCGAACCAATTAATAATTGAAAAAAAAATCATCTTACCATCATCATCATCATTATACGTTTTTCTTCACAAATGGAAATACATCTTTTCTGAGTAATACACCACAAAGTATCATACACAAAACAATATTCCGATCATGAATACTCTGATAAGCTTCATATGAATTGTACATATATAATTTCTTTTTTGAAATATAATAAAGATGATAACAAATAGCAATCACCTGGTTAGCCGAATACATTGTGACTGAATAATGGTAATTGCAAAAAGCTCGGGGAAGGTGGGGGATTCTTTGTGGTTTAGTGGTTAAGGCATTGATGTTTACAGCCAGTGACCCGGCTCGATTCACGGCGGAGACAATTTTATTCAACCTTTGCAAAGAAATTTAAAAAGAGGACAGCAATGGGGAATTTTTTTTTATGAGCTTCACAATTGTCATTGCCTAACTTTCTTTTCTGTGTGGTTTAGTGATTAAGGCATTGCCGTTCACAGCCAGTGACCCTGCTCGATTCTCGGCGGAGACAATTTTATTCAACCTTTGCAAAGAAATTTAAAAAGAGGACAGCAATGGGGAATTTTTTTAATTTTTTTTTTATGAGCTTCACAATTGTCATTGCCTAACTTCCTTTTCTGTGTGGTTTAGTGGTTAAGGCATTTCCGTTCACAGCCAGTGACCCGGCTCGATTCTCGGCGGAGACAATTTTATTCAACCTTTGCAAGAAATTCAAAAAGAGGACAGCAATGGGGAACTTTGTTTTTGTATGACAATTGTCATTGCCTAATTTCCTTTCCCATTATATATCATGTCTTAACAAAAAATGATAACAATTAATTGAAAAATACGTTTAACAAAAATTGACCTCTTCTCTGGGTCATACACTATAAAGTATGGTAAACAAAATAATGGTATCATAATTAACAGCATCGATAAAATACATATTAATTGAAAATACATAAATTGATGATTGAAATATAATAAAGATGATAACAAATACCCACACCTGGTTGCCCGAATATGTGGTGACGGTATATTGGTAATTGCAATATGATCGGGAGAGGGGAAAGGGACACAGTCGACACCCAGTCCAGTCCACCCCTCCCCTGCCTAGTATTCCATTGGAACATCATGTTCTCTTAAGACCTTATTCTTGCTTTGACATTATTGAATAAAAAACCTCTGTGTTTGGTGCTACCCTCTGCATCTTATATGGCAGCATCATTGTTGGTAGAAGTACCATAGTCGTTACCGTCAGTAGCTTTGCTGGAATTAGTTGAATCTAGAGTAACACTGACCGTGTCAGCATCCGTGGTGGAGAGAACACCATCACCTCTCTCAGTGACATTTGCGACAGATGCATCAAGAGGGAGACTGACCGTCACGACATCGGTGCTTGTTGCATCACGATCCGTGTCCTTCTTCTGTTCCTCGGTGGAACTCTGGATATCTTTGCTCATTGGTGGTGTGACTCCTTCCTCAACCTGGCTAACATCATAGGTCGGATTGAACCTACACATAGGGTCGGGTTTGTCGTCTTTGGTAGGCAACAAGTAATTATCCGAGGCTCCTGGACGCAATTTGCTTATCACGCCAGATGACGAGGATAGCCCCGTCGAGCTTACCACACCGCTGGAAGTGCTTGCTTCTTTCTTTAGGAACTTGTCGAAACAAGTTAGCCCCCATTTCTTACGAATGAAAGGCTTCCGGACGCAATAGAGTAGAAAGATGAACAATCCTTGGAAGGAGTTCAGGACGACGAAGATTGGCTGAGCCACCTGTTATAATAACAACAGATTTGGCATTATAAATAATAATTAGGTATATGGTATCCTCTCTCATGTTCTTCAAATACTATACATCTACAGAGGTATTGCTGGTGTATCTAATCATTATAACATTATAGTTCTCAAGATACTTCTTACAATAGATACATACCACGCAGTTGGAATTACCTGACTGAATAACGGGATTAAAAGAAGATATCCGGTAACCCAGGTCAGACCGAGCAGAAGCAAGATGCAGATCGCGTTCTGGACGCGTTCGATAGTCTCACGACGTTCTGCCTTAGCCTCTCTTTTCACCCGACCAGCGATGTTGGCTGACCGGAGCAACTGTCGAACCACCAGGACAAAGATGACAATGTTGATAAGGAGGATGATGGACATGGGAATCAAGAGACCACCGATTTGAGCCCAGAATTGTAGAAAGCATCTATTGATAGTAAATATGCATTTTCTTAAATAGACTGAATTAAGTCAATCAATAATGACTATCTTAGCGATAGTTTTTAAAAAATGTCAAAGGTCCTTGAAACATTTTAACTGAGAAAATGTCATTGTGATGATTTACCATTATCTATTTAATGGAAAGTCCAAGCGTAATTGTCCATACGCTATCAACAATATCTGAGATTTTAGTATGTATGGTGACTAAATTCGCTTAGTGGCTTTTATAAAACTTGGATCACTTTACATACCCACAAAAGTGATACTTAAATTCCAATTCCAAATAAAATTGCGTACTTGCTAACTTATAAGTTACAAAAATACCAAATACCTAAAAACCAGATTAAATAATAATTATTAAAAAAAAGGTTCTCATAGAGCGCTTTCCACCGAAGTCTCTAAGCGCTAAAGGCAAGCCTTGCCCTGGAATTGCATCCTACATGATCAATACAACCCCTGCGCCAGGTAAGAAACACGATAACGTACAGAAATATAATTTTACTGAATCCGAAATTTGAAGATCATTAAGTATAACTAATGCTATGCAATACAATATTCCAAACAAACTTTCAAACGTTACCACTTACAGATCATCATGAGCATAAGAGTCTCTAGCAATAGCTCCAGTAAGAACCACGATAAGTGCAGGAATTCCTGTAATAACATACGTGTATAAGGAAATACAATTGTTTTAGTAATCCAAAATAAGCTCTATCCTTTCCCCGTTTTTTGTATAGGCCTACTTATGTTATTGTTCTGCTGTCCAGCTCACAATTTGTTTAACACGGTCATGGCGGCACAATACTACTTTTCAAAAAAAGATAAAGATATCTCGATTGTTATACTATCCGGGGTTTCTTTGTACAAATCACATGCCATGTCGAATGTTGTTAAATAATGGTTATAACAAAAGAATTACACATAAATGGCAACATTTACGAATTTATGTGCACTGTTGGACTATAATCCGTTTGCAAAACCATGCAGACACTTCATGTTAATAGTAAGCAATATTCCCATTAAAAAGATATAATGAATCAAATATCGTACCCCATGCAGCTAAGGAAGCCTTGATCATGAAATTCTGGATGTAGGTGTTAAAGATCTTCACGATAATGAGGTAGGTATTGTACCCTTCCACACCCATCCATGCAATAGACGACAAAACGAAGAAGTGAACTAGGGCCGTCAGGAACCCACAGGGTCCAGCTTGGACCTCACGATAATCTCTGGTAGAATCGAGAGAGATCATGATGACAAATGTCGTGTAGAGACATAGCAATGTCAGGCACAGGCAGATGAAGATCTTGTTAGCCTGTTTGGTCCTCAAATCCCTATCAAGATTGGAATATAAGAATAAGGTTAGGAAAGCGTCGAAGCAATATTGTACCATACATGTACAAGTTTACCATCACCTGATTGGCAACACATTAACAAAAAACGCCAAACAACAAGAAAACGAAGTAAAATCGAGGGGAAATGTTTGTAAAATGAGGAGATTACGTGGTTGTGCCTTACTTTCATACATGTATCTCTTTTAACACTGCCATACACTGGACACAACCCTCAGAATGGCCATGCGTGTTGAATATAAAAATTATCTGAGTGTAACTATTTAGGACGGTGTCAAATGCGAGAATAGTACGCCAAAGATGTTCGAAATTAATATGCTTTTTATTCTCTGCAAACCGCACACCAAACGGCAGATGGTTTGCTTTACGAAGTTAATAGAGTATCAATGTAGAATATATTGATATGCTACAAACAAATTATTACTAATTGCAACCTATTTATGACTCTCGTCACACCATCCCTTCATCACCAAGCAACTTATGATATTATAGACGTTTATCTTCTTGTTTTTCCATTTCTTCTTCTTCTCCTCCTTCTCCCCCTCTGTACATTACTTCAAACAGAAGTGATACCAAACAGAACTGTCCTGCAGGTTTATACGTATTCCATCTCATTTGATCAAGAGATACTTTTATTAAAAAGGTGGTTATTTGAATGTGCATGATTATTTAATGAATTTTAAAAATGCATCTGTTTCATAGTGTATGTACCTATTCCACGTTCAAAAGCTTCCAAATAAAGTTGAAAATAAAACGACCAGAGACTAATTACACATTCTGTCTCATTTGTGTTACATTAATGATTGCATTATTTCTTCTTAATGGGCTCACTTGTTCCACAGGTAGGTTGCCAATGTGACAAGAAGACCAAAGATAGAAATACAGCATCCAATGTAAGTCAGGATGTTGTATGCCTCGATTAATGAACCCTCGTGTCCATGGATATCCTGTAACATGAAAGAAAATTGAGCCCAAACTGAAACATCTACTTCGAATGCTCAAATAAAACTGATTATTTAACGATTATCTCTCATAAAGTCTATGTGTCGTTAATTGAAAACTGAGAAATCTGGGTTCATTATAATAAAAAGTGGTCGTATTACTAATCGAAACAAATTAAATAATATCACTTTACTACCTTTCACTCGAGACACCACACCTTCAAACTTGTTTTGATCTCAAGAGTGAAAATATTATTCATACCCAATTGAAGACCAGCATTACAGTGTGCTAATTATTATAAAAATCATCTATGAAAAGTTAATTATTATACATCTTACGAAAGAGTGTTTTATCACAAATCATTTGGCATCATTTTTTGTGGCATGTGTTCATGCTTGGATGCACAGGAGGCGTTGTTTGCGAAAGTGCAAAAATCGACTTGCGCCAAAGTTGCTTACGTGATGTTTAAAAAAAAACAATTGGGATTTGGGTATTAATTCGGTCTTTGCAGATCCAAATAACATCCCTAACAAAATTAAGCATGCCACACATATCAAATAACGAATATATAATATCAACGAACATTTTGTGCGCGCGCGTGTGTGTGTGTGTGTGTGTGACTTTGCGTGTGACCATATGCAATGCATTTCATTTGATACATTCAACTCATTCTCTCACTCCGCTAATCCGCTTTTCACTGACCATTATAACAGCGAAGTTGGTAAGATGATCACACGCACAGCGCACGGTCTCCTCATCAGAGCGATCATCGGATGATGTGATTCCAGAAACAAGAACACACCCATCTTGGGACCAATCCTCCTCCTCCTCATCCCAGAATGAACACATGGGATTCACGTATCCAGACTAAACAACAACAACAACAAAATCCGCAAGACCCATAATAGAATTAGTTTTAAAAAGAGACATAAAGGAAGAATTAATGACGACTTTGATTGGTTTAGTTTAAAGCCCATTTGTCATGAGGGGAATCAAACACAGGAGTAAAAAGAAAAAAGAGAAAAGAGATTGCTATACATATAATGTTTACATTTTCCCCTATATATATATATATATATATATATATATACATATATGTATATATACATATATATAATATATATAAATATATATATATATATGTATATGTCTAAAAATGTAATTATCTATAAATACTGCTAAAGGCAGATTACAAAATAATAAGTGTACTTTGTTAAACAACTTTATAATGACATTTATTGTAATAGGTCTTACCATTATTGTAGTGAAGGTAAAGTTGATGAACTCGGTCAATGCTGCAACTTTCCCTTGACCAATACTTAGAGAAATCACGGGAGAGTTAGCCGATCGATTGAAGGCTTCATTAGCTGCACTGAATTTGCGCAATGATTTAGAAATAAACAGGGCTGGAGTTGAAAATACATTGAAGTTGACCCGGACATATTCACCACTGCCATTCGACGGCGATCCTGAGAGTGGGGCCGTGGACGAAATGACGGATGCAACCGAAGGTGGAATGTTGACCTGAGCGATGATGCCTGGTCTTGTAGCAATGACGTCATCGCGGTCATCTTGGGTCGGAGCATCGATGGTAATATTGGCCTTGGTCAGGTCTGAAGGACTGGATCCAGCTAGCGAAAGCACAAGACCACGCATTATGTCGTCAGCGGGTACACTCTGGACCTGTTATGTGAATTCGGACTTCAATTATTATTACTATTATTATTATTATTATTATTATTCTTATTATCATAATCATCATCATCATCATTATTTCTAATATTACTATCATTAAAATTATTATTATTAATGTATTATAATTCGGTTATATTTACAAAAATATCAATATTACTATTTTATTATTGTAATTATTATTAGAAATGGGGAACTGGGAGAAGAAACCTTCGCTTTGAACTATTCTCCCTTGACAAATTCGTTAAAGCGGATCAGTTGAGGTGTTCAAAAGTAATATCAAATAGCTTATATTTGGATTGGAATATAATCAATCGTTCCCTTTTATTTCATTTGTCAGTATTTTTTTTAATTTATTTTTTTTAAATTTATTTATTCGTACGGGGTAGCCCATTCAACATCAGTTGGTCTCCCATGGGGCCCCTAAAAACATACATACATGAATGCAACACAATATGTTCAAATAAAATCATTCAAAATACATACACAATAATGCCAAGTAAATAGTTTAAAAAGAGAATGTAAAAACGTTGAAATATATCAAGGTGAATGTTTGCAATATAGAATAATCAAATATTTAAAGTACAATACCGAGTAACAAAAAATAAAGATATTTAAGCAAATATGAAACAGACTATTGGTGAGTAACTAGGTGCCATGGTATCCCTTATACATCCAATGACTTGAGATACTGTTTAAGATTAAATTTGAAAGATACCAAGGAGGGCAACTCCCGTATGATAACCGGCAAATTATTCCACAAATTTGGACATTTGTATGAAATCCAAATGTTTTTATTTGATTTCTCCTTCGCAATGGCGCATTACAAATCGAATATTATCATCATCATCATCATCATCATCATTATTATTAATATTATTTGTATTATTGTGAATACTATCATTAATAACTTATTTTATTAATATTATTTTAATTCTTTTTCTATTAGATTAATTGTTATCATTATTGTCATCATTATTATTGTCATCATTATTATTATTATTGTTATTATTTCGTTATCGTTGATGATTGAAAATGAAACGATTGCAACCATGCACATAAGTTCAACTAAGGCATCCCACAAATTCAAAATATGAAGAATCATGCACACATAAATGCACAAATAATAATGCTGTTTGGCAGATCTACACAACTGCATGAACAAAAATGGTGAAAGTGTCGCGCCTTGTTGGACACCAGATTGAATGGGACCACAATAGATGAATGGCATCGTCAGGTTTTTAAACCAAATATTTATTTTGAATATGCATGCAAACAATTATACAACTTGGAAGTGAATTTCTATATTTAGTATACTGGTGGATTTCAAATGATTTTTTCGTAGCCTATGATATAAATGTAAAATCACCTGTACGGCTACATTTGGCTGCTGAATGAGGAGCATCCCACCATCGGCAACCTCAACACGACTGATTTGCTCCTCAAAAGCCTGGACAAATTTACTTATTGCCCCATCTTCTGCCTCTGCGGCTTGAAGTTGCTCTGTTTCTACCTGAGCTATATTGCTCACAATACTCGTTATAGAGTTTGTTACCTGTCAATTCAAACACAAAGGACGAAGATGATTTAAACTATAGCAGGAGAAAGACAGACCTAAATCTGTCATAGAACCAATAATATATTATACAACATTAAAAGAAAAAGAGCCTGATACGGGGCAAGGCTCTAGTTAATTCTTCATTGGCAGCAGTTTAGTTTTAAGGCGTCCAATATTGTTAAAACCGGTTATGGCATTTACCTCTTTCACATCTATGACAATGTTATACATTCATGAATCGGAAGGAAGGCTCCAATTTGTGTAACCATTAGATGATTATCAGAACAGAATAAAATGATTAAATTCATCAAAAATCGCAATTTCATGTTCAATAGGATTGGTCTGGCATCGTGCAGAATACCTCTTCACTAGTAAGATTTTGCTGCACAATGTTTGATGTTATCTCTGCCACAAACGTGATGTCATCTGATGTGATATCTTCGATGTTGGAAGTAACAGACGATACTTGCTGGCTCACTTCACCTGCGTTTTCTTCATCTACGATTACCTAAAATTTGAGGGGAAAATATCATTACAGCATGTTTATATTGAGTGATATGACTTTTTCTCCTGCACCCTAATGAGGCCGAGGTATTTCAAGGATTTCGAATACCGGGGGGGGGGGGGGCATTATCACAGGGGCTGCTCGAGCAGGTGGCGAGGGGGGGGGGGCAATTCGTGACAAAATATTTAGAGGGGCATAAGCGGGGGGGGGGGGGGTAATGAGCACTATTTTGTTTTACTAAGCACCCCCTTCCCCCTTGAGGAAGAAAAAAAGGGAAGAAAAATGGAGAGGAAAATTGATACACATATTGAATTAGTATAATGAACATCATGGCAACAAAACTTTTTCATCATTTCGCTTCGTTCATTATTTTTCGCAAAATGTTCAAAACAAACCTACTTTGCAGTTTTACTGTATTCAAATAGTTGGGAAATAAGTTGTTTGGTATATCTAAACACTTCAACAGATGAAGTACATGGTTTGTTTAAAATTAAAATTAAGTAAAAAAACACATTAATTGTCATAATTATCAAATAATAATCGTCTTTTTAAAATGTTCTGGGTATAAAACATAACAAGTTTTCTATTGTTTTTTATATGAAGGATGAACCAAGGATGGGTCTCACTTAGTGGAATATGAGTGTAAACCTTCTTAACAATTACAAAGATCAAATGATTTTAAAATGATTATTGATTCATCGACAGGCTAGCACACTAGCAAATGGAGAAAATGCACATTTTGATTGACATATGATCAATAATTGTAATTTGACACCCCTACCGTTGGTCCGAATTGCACAAATTTGCTATCAAAATGTGCGGGGGAATTGACAGAAAAGTAACAAAACATGGATTCGAAAATTAAAGGGGTTAAGACGCAGCGCAAAACATTCTTACTCATTAGGGTTAAGGTAACATAAAATTAGCGAACATGTGTCCCTTAAAATCACATTTTACCAGGTTTTCATGATCAGTGGCATGTAAAATATACTAAACAAAATTGCATTACATATGAGGGTTTTAAAAAAAAGTCTCTTCTCAATGATTGAAATTTGAAAGGAAAATTCCAAATACCTGTGCAATTTCGGTGAGAATATCTGTGACATTTCTAAATGGTCCGCAATTATCCACAGGTTGCCACTGGCTCTGGGTAATACCATCGCCGATACACAGAGCCCGTCCAATCGGTTCATTAACTGTTCGGTATAAAAAATAAGAATACACATATATATATCATATCAAAAGCACACTGGCAAACAATTATTACCAGATACAATAAAGAAGGGGACATACTAATGAAGTAAAGAAATGCCGTCTATGATTGAAATTTCCTCAAGTAATTCATGACTCCGGAACTATTCAAAGCATTTAACTACACGCGCGGATTTTGAATATTATTTTGGTTGGAGAGCTGGGGGCTTGGGGTTCCTGCATTCATTTTCTACGTGACCCTCGCTTTAATTCATTTGTATTGATTTTATGAACACAGTTTAGTGGCTTAAATATCTATGAGGAGGGGCTTTTAGACCCTAAGCCCCTATCTTGATTCGCTAGTGTTCAATAATGGAGTAAAAACAAATTACATCGGTTGAACATCGTGATATTAAAGCTACTTTTAAAATGATATTGCGATCTAATGAGTCATTCTCGACCGCGCAGTTGCCATTCATTAAAGGGAGTGTATCATGGCAAATACTGGTTAACGCCGTCTACGTCTTTTTTTGGACAACTGCACGTAAACGAATGTACTTGATTAACTGGGTCAGCGCGCTAGCGTTCGCGAAACAGACCGAAGTTCTCCCCACGCTTCTGTTTCGCGTACGTTGCCCGCATGTGAATGTTGCGGTCGCGTCGTCCGTAGTCGTATTATACCCGATTGGCCTCGCGCCATATCTGAACAAGCCTATAGGGACATTATCATATTGCTCGTACGCTTCCCAAAATTAAAGATGAACGAAAGACCCTCAAAACAAACCTTGAGTAGTGTTGAATGGACACATTCCTGTTGAATTTGCCCATGTTCCGTTTTCACCCACCGGAAATTCGACTTTTTCAAAGCGAGGAGATATCCAGGAGATATTCTGGCAAATAGCTACACAAAAAAGAATGTAATGTAATGTAATCACTATAAATAAGAATACAAATTATTTAAAGAAGTACTTTAAAATGAAGGGCCAAAATGCCGCAGAAACAGACAACTCCCGCACAAAAAGGAACACACACACACACACCCACCACCATATACAAACAGTCGTACACGTGTGTAAATATATAAATGTATAATTATATATATATATATATATATATTTATATATACTTTACGGCGTCATTACACGAACATGTGTAGTGAACAAATTGTTCATTATTAAAATAGACATGGTCATTAGCAGGACATTTTTGTTTTCTTGTTAACGATTAGACAAAAAAGGTAATGCCCTTTACGTACACTGTAAAAAAGAATTTGTTCATTGGTAATTTTTACGTATTTTTTCCATTTGGAATTACTTGAAAACATTAGTTTTGACACTTACGCACTAAATTTAAGTCTTGCTAACTCAAACTTTCAATTTAGTAGAACATACGTGGAATATTTAAGTAAAATCAAATACATAAGAACTTTAAGTAATTTCAGCTTGTATTAATTTAGTAATTTTAACTCAAAATCAGAAATTATACGTATTACTCAAACAATTTATGTTGATTATTCTTATCTTTTTAAAGTAAGGACCGATGCAGTGCGTAATAGAAATATTTACATAATTTATGAATATTCATTAAGACCAAATTAAACTCTTTTTTAAATAAAACAATTCTTTTTTGTGGTTGAATGAAAATTTAAGGACTTTAAAACATTTACTAATTCATTTAACATGGCTGAGCAAAGACAAGACAATTTTTAATTGTTACCCAGTTCAAAACAAATCAAAACTTGATATTTCAGGAAATTGTCAACCAACTCTCCTTTTAAGATGCTACGATCAAGTGTATATAAAATTTGGAGCCTTTCAATATGTGTCGAATTGAAGCGTATGTAATAGTTTGTGATGGTGGTAGACATATATATATATACGGTTAAATCTTAAATAGAAGTAGTGAATGATTAGTGGATGTTACTTGTTAGATTAGATGGGTACCAAATCGTGCAATATGTAATCCTATCATAGCTTTTTTTTAATTATCTAAAATGATTACAATACTTAAACTATTTACGTTAATGTAACTCGATTTAACTGAGTAAAAATTTATTCAGCAAAATAATTAAATTCTACTTAAGATGCCGTAGGTAATATTTACTTAATAAAAATAAGGCAATTCTTTTCCACAATTTTATTGAGTTATTTCGACTATTATTTTTTTACAGTGTATGTTTGAAGGCATGTAGAGGAAATCGACAAGAAACAAAGGGTTTAATCACTAGTCATTAGTTTAATTGGTTATATTGTTTTTTAATTTAGGGTTAGGGTAAGGGTTGCGGTTGCGGTTTAGGGCTGGGTTAGGGTAAAGGTATCTTGCGTTTCAAATTACCTAACGAACCGATGCCAATGTTTAAACAAATGCTTGCAATGAGTGGTATCACGAAGGCGGGACAAAACAAAATTATGACCCCTGGTTTTTTGCGTCACCTACCTGTCCTCCGATCAAACTAAGGATACCCCCACGTCCTTATACACAATAAATTGACTTTCATAACTACATGTATATGAATGAAATTGGTACCGTTATCTTGAACTGAAATGGTGTTTGAATCGAGAAAACCGTTCGATTCATTGGCTAGACTATCAAGAGATCGACCAACAAGATCTTGTTTCTCCGTTGCCGTCATATTGGTCCGCTCGATGTAGAAATTCATGTCAGCTTTGACGCTTCCCGGTCTTAGGGCTCTGCATACTACTGATAGACTCTTTAAACCAGAACTGGTTCGGACGCCTTGCTCCACCTTTACACAGATACAAAATAACAAATATAAAAGATAACACGTTTAATAGATATTTCCCCTTCTAAGACTGATACTCTTTTGTAACTCATTAAAGAATACGTCATAACCGTAAACCCTTCTCATGCAACATTGTGTCCATAGTTTATTCATAAGAATATACTTATGATAGAATAGCATTTTTGAAAAAACTTAAAGAACTGAATGAAAGTAACTGTAGCGTAAGTTTAAAAAGGGTGATGTGAAAGAACTGAGATGACCGTCTAAATGTTTGAACGGCTTTTGCTAGGATATATTAATACATGTATATTATTAAGTTTTTATAAGGATGGAAAACAAGTTGAGTACTTGTAAAGGTGAGAAATAACTTAAGAGCTTACTCGTTCTGTTATTTCAGTTTGGACATATTGGAAGAATGTTATAGAACAAAGTGTTCCCTGAGAATAATGGTTCCCATGGTATAAAAGCCATCATATTCGAAATCAAGGCGAAAGCAAGATGTGTCCCACGCATTCCTGACCAAATTACCTGAACGTCGTTAAAGAGCATCACGGACTCAAGCCTGGTCGCACAAACAAAACATGTACTAAAGTGACTAGTCGTATATGAACCTTGTGGGTTTAAACTTACAGCTTATTCAAAAATTGTCTGAAGCAAGTTTTGTCATAATCGAATAAACAAATGCAAAATTATTTGTCACGAAAGAGCTCACAGAATTTGCTTTGACCTTAGAATGTGACCCTCGACAGCACTATAATGGGAAGGTCCCCTAAATGCATATCTTCTTCAAGTTTGTTCACAATAGCATTAATAGTTGCTGATTTATTTGTCACAAGAGAGTCCAGGTTTGCAGGTAAGCGGAGGAAGAAGGCCTTCTGGATGCTTTACTCTTGTCTCCACCATGAGAAGAGCTGAGAATGTGTATGCCATATGTACGAGCAAACAGCCTTTACCAAATCCCTGCTAGGAAACTTGTTGCACAACGTATTCGCACTCTTTAATTCAATTGTCTATTCTAAACCCAAAACAATATTAGGCCAACCCTGCAGAATATCACAAGAGCGGGATAGGCCTTTTTGATACGCACCAATTACTTTTAGGATATACTTACATAGGTGCTGATGTTGAGCGCCGTTTCTTTATAGAGTTTAGACGTTTGGTCATGAAGCTCATCGCTGAATGGAATGGCAAATCTAGCGTTCAAAACTATTATATTGGTCAGATCTGAAAATGCAAACATACGTATCGAGAATCAGTGACACAGATTCAGGGGAGGGCACAGAGGAACGCCCCCCCCCCCCGAGCCAGAGGAAAAGGGGGGGGGAATTCTCCTGATGAAGAGGGCTTATAGCAAACAAAAAATACCAAAATACAAGTAACTTAAACATAACTTTAAGAAAATGTCTTTAAAAACGAATTCGATATTAAATCAGTATTTGTATGAGAGCATTTCTCTCATACTGAACACATAATGTACCCAGTATAATCACGATCGTTTTGTTTTACGCGCTTGTATGTCTCAATTGCGATCTAATTTTTGTTGTAGTTATTTCTTACTTTCACACGTAGCAATAAACATAACATTAATATCTTAAAACTTAAAAGAAATTTATTTTCTGTATATATATTTTTTTCCTATAGAAGTTTGATTAAAGGTAATACAAAGTTTTGAGAAATTTTGAAAATTGGGTGGATCGTGATTCTTACAATTTTGATATATTTGGATGCCCCTGTGGATGTATTATAAGCACTAGACAATTTTGTATGTGGTTTATTTCAAGCAAAGATTTTACCTTTGACATATACAGATGCTCGCATCGTGTCTAAAGTTTCTTCATTTCTCCCCGAGCCTCGGCAGAAGTAATACCCGATGTCACTTGGAGTGACAGACATGATTATCAAAGGATTCTGATTTCCACTGTTAGGCAAAAGGACATCATCTTTGTACCAGTGGTATCGCTTGGCATTGTTGAAACTACATGTCAGCTCCACTCTGGCATTGATGTTGACTATCTGGCTTGACGGATGGACAGAAACCTCCAAAGGAACTGTATTCGAGGTAGGAATTAGAAAATATGACGGCGAATGAAGTAATTTTGTTTTCAATATTGATGATGATAAAGATGGTTAAAAAAATAATAAAAGTAATGATGATGATACTTATAAGTTAGAGAAGGAGAAGAAGAGGGATGATAATTTTCCCCCCAAAACAGTGAGATCAATTATGATCACAATAAAACCACGACTAATGATAATAATAGAAATTGAAATAATACTAATACTCTACTACCAATACTATTCATAAAAATGATGATAATAACAGTTACATATATATATATATATATATATATATATATGTAAATACCAAGGGGGTGGTCAAGGCACCTACAAAATACTATTATGATTCCTACACTGGCTAGCCTAGCTGCCCTAAGGCCCTGAAAGCATTCAAGGAATAAATTCCTAACAAAGTGATAGTGACAAATGCCTCGTCAAAAGACAGTGGTGCTGTCCTGAACCGCAATCCATGTGATCTCAAAGAGGTAGTATAAGCTCATTGGTGATCCTAAGTCCGGTGATTAGATTTAATTCATATAATAAGCAAGTAATATTTTGTTTACACTTTTTATGAAATCTTTTAGGGTAAGGGTTAGGGTTAGGATAATGTTTATTATTAGGGTTAGGGTATGCAATGTTAAATCCCCCCTTTACAAAAATCCTGCGTACGCTACGCTGGTTCACTTACTTAATAGAACGTCGTGAATAGCAACAACAGATAAATACCCCCCCCCCCCCCCCCAGAAAAGGGAAGAATTTTGATATTTTTATTTTATATCCAGATATGATGAAAAGACATTCGATTTACTTATTTAGAAATGAAAAGCTTTCGTTGCCATTTAAGAGGGTAAAACATTGTGTCAAAACACCGCCTTTCCAAATTTTGATTCTTATTCACCCGTCTTTCGAAACGATGTGAATCATGGATTTGCAAAACGTAATTTCTGTAAGATGCATACAAGTAAATCGAAACATATGACTTACGAGTTGGTTCATCACAATGGATCCCCTCATAATGATCTTGGCATTCACATTCGTACTGCCCTTGTCCACTAGGACGACAGACACCATTGACGCACGGGTTTCGTTGGGTGCAAGGATCAGCGATACCTGTCAAAAGTTAGTTATAGTAAAATTGTAGTAGCATAGAACTTACGAATGAATGCTTGCAGTTTTTATCCTCAGTTTCCTGGTTAACAGTGTCTAGACATAATGTTATGGTGTGTTTACTTTTATGAAGGGTTAATCTCAAAGAAGAAAAACATGTTAAGACGCAACCACTGACAACAGCTTTTGAGCTCTCAACGAAAGTGACGTGCGAAAAACTCGAGATAACTATTTTCCAATAGTTCATTTTTTTAGAGGCTCATAATTCCGAAACAAAAATTACTCATAACGAAAGGTTCGTTATTCTTAAAATTAAATAGGGTTTATTCAACCCAGAAGATTCGTAATTCCGAAAATTATACAAGGTTCATAATTATGAAAATTAAATGTGATTCAATGCTGCGAAGGTTCGTAATACTATAGACGGGCTTTAATAGACGAGATTGGGTTCTAATTTAATTTGGAATTATGAACCTTCGGAAATATGGAGTCTGTTTAATTTTTTGCAATAACGAATCCTATACAAACTTCAGAATGATGAACTCTTTTCCATTTCCAGAGTTTTAGAAAATTGGAAAAATGCCATGTTTACCAAAATAACGCATTTCGCTGGAGTTTATATATGTGTATGTGAATAGTATATATTTACATACATACGTTCATACTTTTGACATGTCAGTGTCTTTGTATAGTGAAAATGGCTTCCTAAATTCCCATTCGATTTAGCTGTACCGCTTACTTATTTCACAGTTCGGGCCGATAAATAGATCCATGCAAATACACTGGTAACCGATTTCATTTTGCTGACAAGTACCTCCATTTAGACAGGGTGTTGGGAGACATGCGTTCCCTGAACACAGAAAAGGGAGCAATGTTAAAGATAAACTTTAGTACTGGTAATGCGATTGCATTGTGAAAGAAAAGGTGCGGAAAGGATCAGAAACAGTTAATCATGTAGCATGTAAGTATTGGTGTGCACTGCAAGGTTCTGGAGTCATCAAAATCATAATAAATTTAACCGAGTCTTGGTAAAGTAACAAGCACTCACATAGAAATCTATATATGGGACAACACACATGGTGTCGGGGGCTAGTACTACCTTGATTTCCTTGTCTTTCTATGCTCATTACTTAGCCAGTATACATTTTCTTCCAAAATTGTTTGGCACATGTCATTTATTTGTAATCTTGAACATTCAGTGTAAGTTTCGTTTGATTCTGTGAGAATTTTTTTTTGTTTTGTTACCAGTACTGGAGTTTATCTTTAAGAGTTAGAAATGGAAGTAATCATCATGGGAATTATTCCGGAGATCCACGTGGTTGTTCATTATATTTGAATTTATTGGTGAAAATGCGGTTCAACAAAATGTTATTGGATTAAAAAAGAACTACAATGCAAGTCAAAAAAAAGTTTACACCTAAAACATTATTTCATAATTCATCTATAAACATTAAATTATTATACATCTTAAGAAGAAGTGTTTTATCCAAAATCATGTAGTATCATTTGTGTGTGGAATATGTTCACGCTTGGATAAACAGGAGGAATTGTTTGCGAGAGAGCAAAAATCGACTTGCGCCAAAGTTGCTTATGTGATGTTTGAATAAAACACTTGGGATTTGGGTATTAATTTGGTTATTACAAATCCAAAGACCAAAAATTAATCACGCCCCTATCAAATATCAAGCATTTGTGTGTACGTGGGTGTGCGTTACTTTGCTTCTGATATTTTGCGCCGACTGAGCCAGCCGCTGAATAACCGGGTTGGGGTGGGGGTAAAACGCTTTTTTTTTTTTTTTTTTGAAGTATGTTGAAAAATGTATTCGAATTATGCTAAAAAAGCTCAAATTATGCCAGAATTTTGCTAAAAAACAGCCAAATTATGCTAAAAGGTCAAAATAATGCTTCGTTTCCACTATGTTTCCGGCGGCCACGGCAGCCCTGTTTGCCCGAAACGTTGTGCGCCGTGGGATTTAGGCCAATTTTATTTCTGGATTCAAGTTTTGTTAGGTCTTGCCAAGTTTTCTCACGGTCTACCACGGTATCCATGAGGGGCCGTGGGGGAAAGGAGATGCTGAGTCCCGGAGGCTTCAAGGCGCACTACAGTTCGGCCCGCGTTTTACCACGGATGCCAGAACGTTCCCTTTCGGCCCGTCACGTTTTGTTGGGGTCCCTCACGTTTCTCAAGTTCTGATCAAGGTTCGACACGTTTTTCACGTTCTGTCAAGGCCTTCTAGGGATAAAACGTGGACGCCGGGCAGCTTTGGAGCACGTTTGTGCCCACGGTACGAAAAGAAGTCCTCCGAAACAAAAGCAATCATTTTATCCTGACATTTCAACGAGACAACATCATAAATGCACAAGATGAAGAAAATTTATTATGTGCATGTTTGCTGGGTGCATACATCAGGTCTTGGCATCAGCAACAAGAAGGCTATCATCAGTTGCAGAGATGGAAGGCCTGGGCCCTGTTTCATAAAACTTGATATCAATAACAAGTTACAAGGTACTGTAATTATAAGCTACTGAGATCATGGCTGAGAGCAAATTTGTCATAGAAATTTAGCAGTTGTTATAGATAACAAGTTTTATAAAACGGGCCCCAGAGTGTAGCAGGCAGGAAGAAAGCGGATGAGAAGGCCAAGATCCATGTGAGTGCGCGCAAAGGGTTATAGGAAGACAGCAGCAGTTGAGCCACTTTTCATCATTTCTCACTTGGGAGCTCCCCACCGAAGATGTCAACGCCTTCCAGAAGTATCTGAGGATGCCTCCAGAGCTCTTCGACGAGATCCTGGGAAGAGTAACACCAGCCATGAAGAGAAAAGACACACGAGTTCTGCTTTGCGCTCCTTCTAGCAGGTGCATCTTCTTCAACCTCCTCCGCCTCAGGTTCAGGTTCCAGTTCAGGGACCGGGTTAGAAGCATCAGCACGCTTCCTCATCATCTGGCGGCGTTGAACGGCGAGGATCTTCAGGCTGCCCCTGCCCCTCTACTGGTGGGGGTGCAGGACTGGAAAGGGGGGGGGGCTTCGTACATGTGGGCTTCTTCGGTGGCATAGATTGGCCTTCTTTTTTTTAAAGCTTGGTCATCTCTCTCTCTCTCTCTCTCCGTATTGTAGATGCAGTAATGTGTCGTCGATTGCTCAGACTCGAATAAAGCTTCTCTGCCGGGCCCGGATTTTATTTATTCCCTCCCAGGCATGAAGCGCCGTGTCAGAGAGTAATATAACGCAAAAGGGTGTCTAACTTTAAACCCCAAACGAAATTTGAACTAACCTGTTGTTGTGCCGGGTGTGGTACCTAGTGTGGTTCCGGGTGTAGATCCTGGTGTTGTTTCAGGGGCTGTATTCGGTGTTGTACGTGGTGTTGTTCCAGGTGTAGTAGCTTGCGTTGTACCCGGTGTTCTACCTGGGGTTTCTCCTGGTGTTGTTTGAGGTGGTGTTTGAGCAGGTGTACTGGAAATAACTAGGACGAATTAAATGCATTCCATTTCTTAATAATTGAACTAAATGAATTTGTGTCGAATATGAAAAATCAAGAATCAAATAACACATTTCCTAATATTAAACAAAAAATCTCTGTGAACATTGGTTACTCCATCATCCTTCTTTTACTATGTCTTATATTTGAAAATAATGTTGTGTGCAAAAGTAGTAAAAACATCATACCCTTCCAATGAAAACCAATCTAAATTTCAATATTGTGAACAAAGTGAACTTCTTCTTACTGCTTTTTATGTCAGTTCCTCGCTTGTTTATGATTGATAAATGTTACAGTTAGAGAAGCATTTATACAAAACCTGCAGTGTTCTCTCCAACAAGAATTCAATAGCAGAACATGATAAGTCTTAGATATTTGGAATGCTTAATTTATGCTGAAGTTAAAACATAGTGGTGTCCTATCAATCAACCGATTGTACTAGAATATTCGATTCTTACTGAGTTTCTTTCTCCGACCCTGTTTCTTCTATTTTTCTTCATGAATTACTCTTATCTACTATTATATCCCTTATTGTAAGATTGTTGCATTAGGTGTGTACGCAACAAGAAAAAGAATATTTTTTTACTGTAAAAGACGTTTCGTGCCGACTAGATCGGAATAGTTCATTTTTTATTGATGACGTCACACTAGGGAAAAAAGGTACTATGCGTGACGTCACAATAAAAAACGCATATTCCTGAACTATGCATTTTCCCAGCGAGCGCGTACATAATTTCAAATGCCTCCGCGCGCTCAACTCCCGCGGTGTCACGGCGCTCAAGCCATATGCAACTTACGCTGTGCGATAATCTGCACTACACTAGCGCCAGCTTAAACATATTTACATCCTTCAATGTTTCATTCGATCGAGCCGTGCAATTTTCTTTATTTCTTTTCGATCTGAATGTAGATGTTAATGTGAGTATTAGCTTCATATCATTACAGAAGTGTACAAGGAATAATACAGATGGAAGGGATATAAAACAAATATAAAATGACTCATTCTCGGAACAAGCTACAACTATTCGCACTCAGGAACACCATTAGTACTTTTCTCCCTTGGGCCGATGGCCCTCGTGAGAATAGTACTAGTTGATGTTCCTTTGATGCGAATAGTTTCAGCTAGATCCTCGAGTGTCATTGTATATTTGTATACTATCTAACCAGACATAGCCGTTCATATCACCTTCCACCTTTGGTACAACTTTCGCTAATAATATAGTTACTTTGGAAGGAACTTCCAACACACTTAGTTAATACGGACTCTCTTTGTCCTATTTAAAATGTACAAATCACCAAAAGTCATTTGCACAGTCCAGTTGTCAGGGTTTCCATGTTGCTAAACAATATCAAATGGCTTTAAATATTACTTCTATATTAGAAACTGCAAATTGAAATACTATCTCAATTATGATAGACAAGGGCCCGCACAAAAACCAAGTCCGATTTGGGATTGTATGTTATTTCTTTTTCTTCATACTTACGATACGTTAGCAGATAGGTTTCAAGATAACAAAATTGAGAAACATTTTATACATTCTTACTAGAAAAAAAAATCTTTTTGGTGATACACTTTAAATGCATATCTATCTAAAACGATTCTTTCTTGAATAGTGCAACATTCCATGACTCCTAATTCTGGCTTCCTCTTTAAGTACATACTTATTCATTGGCTTCTACCCTTTTCCTTTTTTCGTATTTTCATGAATTTGTCTTCAATGATATTTTCTCTGTTTCAAAGAGTTCATTTTATTTACCTGAGCCATGCTTTCAACTATATTTCTTAATATTCTACTTTAGATTTTGCATTATGCTCCTTAGGTATCTTATGTAACTCGGTACAATTTTCCCCTCCTATTACTTGACGTATTAAAATCATGTATCTATTAAACCATCTATCTATCTATTCAGTTGAACCATCAAACTGACCCCAAACCGACTCCATGCCATCGATTTCATTGGCGGCTAAAAATAATCATTACGGTGTCAGTATTTGTTCGATCACGAGTCAGTCCGGAGTTGGTTTTATTGAGCGATGCAGTGACATCCAAAATAAAACATTTTCAAATAAGATAAATCGATGATAATCACATACTCACTTGATTTTGGAAATGGAAATTATCTCAACCTCCATTTTTTGAGACTGCTGTAACCCTTTGTGTTGGATAATTATCATGCTGTAACTGGTAAATTACCAGTTATCACTGCTTCAATACACAGAGCTTTAGATTACACGAATATCTTAAAAGAAAATTAATTCAACACTCACTTGATAGTATAATGGGAATTATCTCAACGTCCACTTGGAGACTGGAATAATTATTTGCTCCTATGACAGCAAACCACATCTCATTGCTATCTACATAGACATCATCAGGAGCGTAGTTTGTATATCCAAGAATAGTTGTGATGACAGACTGTATGTCAGACGGGTCGTTCCCTGTCCCTATTTGGACTTCATCATTAATATTAAGATATAAATGTTGGAACACAACTCGAAATCCATTCGTAGCGTTTGTTTTGAGCAAGATTGCATTATAGAATCGTGTTGTGTAGGTCCGTGGTAAAGAAATGAAATGTGATTTGCCTTCCTGGAGATAAGTTGCTGAATAATCTGTAAGGGGAAGTAAAACGAATTAAAAAAAAGTCACCTGAACATGATTCTTTTCAGTTCTTCAACAAGGAATCGGAAGATAAGATTCGTCATCTTGAACTGACAGCTTATCTGGGAGCCTTTACCGACATAAAACTTGTATTATCCATACTGCTTGACCCCCTTAATTTACTTAGAGGAAAGGACATTCCCCCAAAATGTAAAGACCTAACCCTTATATCAAAGTTCCATAAACAGAGCCCACTGTCGGGTCGCTTTTTAACCCATCTACCACATGCGAGAAATTTCGCTAGTAGAATTTATGACATGACATTATATACACAAAAAACTACCAACTTTGAACGGGAATCGGTTGATATCAGACGCCCCTTTAACAAATGGGAGCATTTTCCCTTTAAATCATAAAGACACAATTTGTAAAGAAAAATTCCCTTTTCATTACAAAATATAGAGACTGGCCTGTCCTAATATGCAGACATGTATGTTTTCTAAATGATGATATCTGGTGCTTGGACAAGACTTTATGTGGTATGTTGAGGCAATTTACGGGGATTAGCCCGACAGCTACACTCTGCGTGCCACAATTTGTATCAATGCATTTGATGGTAATTCGAGGGTCGAAATCGTATGGTTTTATTAAATGGGTTACTATTTAGGACCAGATTTGGCTTCTACAAAGTTGTGAAAAGTCGATGGAACAAAATTCGACCCCCTAATAAGCAGAGAGCACAAAAGCCTTAACCTCAGTGACTGTATTATCCATTAAAATTCCACGTGACAAAATCAATCTGTCTTTAAAACTGTGTTCATCGTTGAATCGCAATACACTAATATTATTATGACATTCATAATAAAGTGGAAAAGAATATGAAAGAATGAAAGTTTCAAGTCTTCATATTTCCGCAATCGTATTCTAACCCCTCGTTTGTGTACAAGGGCCCTGTTTCATGAAACTTGTTATTTATAATAACAAGTTATGATTACTGTAATATTAGCTACTAAAATCTTGACATTTGATTGGCTGAGAGCAAATTTATCATAGTATCTAAGAATTAACATATGCTAGAAAATAATGGAGTACAATAAATACCTGTAATATCTATAAAGAACGCCTTACTAGATATAATTTGTTTTTGTGTTTTTGACTTACTGCACGCTAATTCATCCTCGTAATGTTCGCAGTGGTAACGTCCATCACAAAGGACAGTCGGTGACACGCTCATACTTGAGCTTGAACAGGCAAATAAGGCTGGTAGAAGATAGAAGATGGAGAAAAAATAACTTATGATTAGCTCATAATGCTCTGAAATGTTACAATTGAATATACTGTGTTTCTTTAAATACTTTTAGTAATTAGGCGCGTCAAAATTCACCTTCTTTATACCATTATTTGTGGTAAAACTGAAAACAAGGATTATCTTCATCAGTCGACAGGTATTGAATAATTCTCATTTATAACAAGTAAAACACCAGTTATCACTGCTTCAATAGACAAAACTTTAGATTCTACTGATATTTTAAAGTAAATTAATTTAAAACTTACATGATATGTCAATGGAAATGATTTCAACGTCCATTCCGAGGCTGGAGTAACCATTTGCTCCTATGACAGCAAACCACATCTCATTGGTATCTACATATACATCATCAGGCTCGTAGTTTATGTTTTCATCGATAGTTGTGATGCCAGACTGTGTGTCAGACGGATCGTTACCTGTCCCTATTTGGACTTTAGCACCATTAAGATAAAATTCTCGGAATACAACTCGAAATCCATTCGTAGCGTTTGTATTTAGCAAGATTGCATTATAGAATCGTGTTGTACTGGTGTATGGTAAGGAGATGAAATGC